GGGGGAGAGAGAGAGAGAGAGAGAGAGAGAGAGAGAGAGAGAGAGAGAGAGAGAGAGAAGGAGCACCTTGTTGGGGGAATGAGAGAATTGAAGCTCCTCGGAGTACTTGAAAGGGGAGATGGTCGGGAAACTGCCCTCACCTTGGCCTTTCCACGTGCCCAGCAAGTAAGACAGCGGCCGCACCGCTGGGTGGACGGCCACTTGCGGCGGCGGTAGGGGGTTTACAGCCATCTCGATATGTATTTTGTATGGTTTTGAAATTTTTAGAGGCCTCTCGCTCGGTTCGGAGTATTATTAGTTTTTATCTTTTTTTCTTTCAATTTTCATGAATAATATTTACCTTTTCATGAATAATATTTACCATTACAATATTCGTGTACTAAATTTGAAGATTGTTGTGATTGACCTGAAGCCTACAAGGCTAGGTCGGGCGAGTAAAGATTGTTATAATCGACCTGAAACTTAGAGAGCTAATCAAGTGAGTAGACATGAAGAAGTGAGTAGACATGAAGATCGTTGTGATCGACCTGAAGACTTAAGGGCTATGCCGGATGGATAGACTTTAACCTTGCGATAGACCTGAAGCCTTAAGGGCTACGTTGGGCAAATAAACTCTGAGACTAAATACAATCCACCTAGAGATGGGGACGGTCCTCTTTGTGAGTGACATAAAGCTCATGCTTAGGTCGAGCGAGTGTTTTAAGAAGAATCGATCCCTTAGAGAAGCTTTAAGGGCATAAAGCTAGCATAAGCCAAGTTTTAAGATGGATATTTAGAGTCGGGAGTAAGCTTAAAATAGAGATATATACAAGGTAGCCATCAATGTATGTAAAACATAAAGCTACAAGATTTAAAGCTAATATGTGACCTAGAGAAGAAAAAAAATTTAGGGCGATCGGGCCAGTGCTAAAAATACGCATCACTGTGACAATCATGTAGTATCCAATTGTTACAACCCTGAGTATGCTGTCTGATGAGTGCGAGAACCCTTACTGCATCCACGTAAGAATAGATGCGAAATAGTGGATGTTGCGCAAGTGCGTACAAAGTGCATCCGTGCTCAGGTGGTTCCAGCTAGCTTGACGAAGAATTTGAATTGCTGCAAATTGTTGTTGGGTCTGACCATGAACCATGCACGTAGGGGATTTATCAAGTCCTAGTTTGGAGCTTTAATAAATGTTTGTTAGTCTGGATTATGGATTCCCCATTGGATTTATCTCGATTGCGGGGTCGAAAAAAGTTAAGGGATTGGTCAGATGACGATTATGATGGATGTGTAAGGCCAACATGCATGACCCAAATGCCGTTGCGCACCGGTGGATCAATTGAGGTTGGGCTTGGAGAGGCCTGTGGCTAAGTGGGAGCTGCGGGCGGTAGATTCTGGATGACATGCGCAAGTATGGACATCGCGTTCAATTGGTTTTTAAGAAACTGCAAAATTTTATTACGGGTGGCAACGAATAGATTGGTGGTGAGGCAAGCAACTCGACCACGTGGCACCAAGATAGTTACGATCCATCCATGTGTTCTCATGACTAAGTGATGTAGTGAAAGAATACGAGTGGGAAGGATATAAACGAGTAAACGGGATACTCTCTCAAAACTCATAATATCTAATCTTATTTCATTTCAATAATCAACTCCCCTAATAACAAAGCACAACAACCCTTTAAATAAGACTCTTAAACTAAACCCTAACTTATTCTCCAAGCTAAATAATAATAATAATAATAATAATAATAATAATAATAATAATAATAATAATAATAATAATAATAATAATAATAATAATTCTGTATCATTCTCCCTCGGTTGAGCAGTATTCGTCCTTGAATCTGACACGTTCATGTTGGAGACATCCCCATGACAGAAATAGCCCGGGCGTTTTCCCCGGTCGAACACGAATGTTGAATGCCTCACTTCCATGGTATCACCCCCTTGAAATTCATGGAAAGACATATATGCAACAGCCACACACAGAATGTTGAAGGCACCGTGGAGACAAAAAAACAACATCCGTTTGCAAGGTCGCAACAAATTTCCGTGGAAGAAAAGCTCGGGCATGCAAAATAGAAGAACTACCAATTTTTCCAACAACTGAATCTTAATACCCGGAACATGATGGAATTCTTCTAGCCCCAGAGGCTTTTCATCGAAAATAGGTAGACCGTCGTAGAGACGGTCCACTTTTCCGGTAAAACGATCCTCCACCTCCTCGGGTCCTTCATCAAACACAGGCGGACCATCGTACAATGGCCCGTCAACTTGCTCTTCGTCGAATTTGGGGATGTCTACATGAAACGAGCCTTCCCATCGACCATAGTCACGATCAAATTCCCAATCGCGTCGGGCACGATATCCGCCGATGATGGCAGCCTCCTCGCGCTTGCCTCTGTCGTTGCGTTGATCGTCGCCATCCATGAAGCCGTTCAGAGGTGGCAGGAACCTCTGCCAAGGCGCCCCAACATGGCTGCGTCCCCCACAACCGCCTCTGTCTCCCACGCAAAAGCCACGGCCCACAGCCCATCGCGGTTCGTTTGCAATTCCGAAACAACCACGTTGTTAAACGTCAAATGCAAATTCTCGATCCCCGTCGAAAGATCGGCAAACCAATCCGTGAAACGCATGTCCAACTCTTGAAATCGGTAGTCAATCTTTTGAAACCAATCGTTGAAGGTTGCATCACGTTGTTCGTTTGAGGCATCTTGTCGTCCCAGCGACATCGCGAATCGTACTGACTGTTGATACCAACTGATGTAGGGAAAGCGTACGAGTGGGAATGATATAAACGAGTAAACGACATAGTCTCCGGTAAAACATGCAAAACTCACAATATCTAATCTTATTTCATTTCAATAATTAACTCTCCTAATAACAAAGGACAACAACCCTTTAAATAAGACTCTTAAACTAAACCCAAACTTATTCTCTAAACTAACTAATAATAATAATAATAATAATAATAATAATAATAATAATAATAATAATAATAATAATAATAATAATAATAATAATAATAATAATAATAATAATAATAATAATAACTCTGCATCCGTTTCCCCGGTGATTTCGTCTGGGCGGTGTTGACCAAGGACCGCTTCCCGGCTCACGAGTACAGTAAGTTGTCGGCTCGTAAGGTTGACCCTGTCGAGATCTTGGAGGAGATCAACCCCAACGCCTATCGCCCTCGTTTTCCGCCACACATTCGTATGTCAGATGTATTCAACGTCAAACACCTTGTTCCGTTTCACGGTGACAATTCCGACAACGACGAGATCGATCCAGATTCGAGGGCAAATCCTCTTCAACAGGGGGAGCAGAGGCAGATCTACACTCTGCCTAGGGGGGCCATTGTCCCCCCAAACATTTAATTTTGCTCACTATATATGTATGTATATATACTTTAAGACTTTCAAATTATTTAATATATATACACACATATATAGATTAAACATATATAAAACATATTCAATTTATACGCATGAATTCCCACCATCATACAAATTATTGTATACCTCTATTTACTAATTAATTTTAACTACATCATATTTTTTATTTTGCTTACAATTACAAAAATTAAAAAGTAAATTTAGAATAGAAGAACATGCAACATATATATGCAGTTCAATGTTTGGAAAGAGAATTTCTAAAACTATCAATACGGCAGTAGGCCTTCTTATCGCTACTTAATAGTTTAATAACCACATTATATTCATACTTAAATGTTATGTTTTATGATGCAATACAAATAAAAGTATGACATTCATAGTATAACAATGCATTTTTTGTAGGAAATTATATATGTCTAACAATTTGGCAACATACCAATTATAGCATTTGTGTTGATAACGAGCTAATCATCAATGAATTTTGTAAGTTTTAAGAATGTTGGGTACTTAAACTACCAAAATTAAGAAGTCATGTCTTTTGTAGTGCAACTTATTAATTATTTTATCTATTTTAAAATAAAATTTACGCCAATATGTGTGTGTGTGTGTGTGAGAGAGAGAGAGAGAGAGAGATATTAAAAATTATATAGTTCCTCTCGAAATGTTACTCGTGTCGGTCAAGTTGAATACCTCATCTTTAAACTTGTGATAATGTCATAAATGAGTATGATTAGCTCGACCATTGAATAAATAAACAAGAATATAAGCTCAAACTCAGTTTGTGTAAGCTTCAATCTACTCGATTGGTTTAATAAGAAAATTCAAATAGTCATTCTAGCTTGGCTCATTTAAATATATAAATAGTATGGGATCAACTTTCAAGAGTTAGAGTAAATACAATCCGGTAACTGTATTAGCCCCTCCCAAATTTATTTTCCAGATCCGCCCCTGAGGGGGAGGATGATGGCGACGAGATCGCCCTTGCCTACTTGGCAAAATTCGATTCGCTTCGTCTTTAGAATATCATTTATTTATATCTATATTTATTTATCTTATTTCCTTTGCTGGTTTTATTTAAATTAGGAACTAATTATGGTCTTCTCAGGTTTTGAGGACTCTTTATATATTTGTGGTCTGTGAAGTTTTGCGCAGACTTTTGAATAAAAATTTTACCGGATTGATAGTTTTCTCTTCTCCTGTTCGTTTTAACGCGTCCGTCTACATCATCAATGATGCAGAGTTATTATTATTATTATTATTATTATTATTATTATTATTATTATTATTATTATTATTATTATTATTATTATTATTATTATTATTATTATTATTATTATTATGGAGAATGAGTTAGGGTTTAGTTTAAGAGTCTTATTATTCTTCAAACTCCGGCTAATGACAAGAACAGATAAATAAATAGAGTTCCTAGCAGTCCAAACACCTAACTTGCAAGGCAAGTAAATTCCTAATAATAAAATTAATATACCAACTTAATAAAATAAATAAGGAATAACAATAAAATACTCTTGCAATTAATTAACGAAACTAGAGCTGGGATTCGATCGTATTTATCCATAAACGTCATCGCGATCTTGTCTCCATCACTAATCGGCCAATCGAACCGACTTCACGGGCGAGAATTGCGCAAATGTTATTGTTCGATCAAATCAGGGACGACAATTCGGTTGTGTCATCTATAAAGAATAAAAGATGCTACTCTTGGACGAGTCTTAGCATAGCAAGCTCGTCTAGAGTTGGGGGGTGGGGGTGGGGGTGGAGACAAGTTGATATAACACCATTAAAGTTCGTTCGGTTCGGCCCAGAATATATGAAAAAGCTGATATGGCGCAAATAGCTCAATCATGAACCGGGAGTATCTTATGTGGATATAAGAATAATGCGACATGGGTCATCTAAAAGACCTAACGGGAAGCCGACGAGCTCATAAATTTGAGGTCGTCTAAGAGACCTAGCGTTAGCCGATCTAAGTAGCTACACACAAGAGGAGACATGAAGAAGAATAAGGTACTCTGTGACAGACATACGATTATTTTTCTCTATAGGGCCAAGTTTTCTAATACATGGGGTCTCTTTTCTTCATATTACTTATTGTTACCAATTCATATAAATATAGCATATTATCTTGTAGGCTCGGAACTAACTTGAACGTCGGAGTGCAAGTTAGAGCGGTCCGTGGTTCAGGTAAATGGCGGAGCGAGGCGGGTCAAACGAAAAAATGTAGCCGATAATTCGACTACATCAGAAATATAAAACCAATTTAAGTGTATTTATTAAACTAATTAGATTTAGCTTTACGATTAAACTGTAATTGCTTTCTCGATACAAATCTATTAATATATAAAGAGGGAATGATATTTATTTGAAAAAAGATGAAAAAAAATCAGCAAAATAAAAAAAGCCAATTCCCGCCCAAAGTGAATAAAATGAGAAAGATTTTTGGCTAAAAATTAAAATTCGAGCGCCATCCAGCCAATTTTGAAAATTTTGAAAAAATAAATAAATTAAAAAATCTAAATAAAAAGATTACATGAATATTTTTTGGAGATTCCATATTATCTAACTTTCATACATTAGTAATGAGACACTTGTCCTATTTTCATTGGTCCACTATAAATTTTATATGATAAGATAAGTATAACTCAAATTATTTATATTATTTTAATTTAAAAAATAAAATAAAAATACCAAAATTCGTATTTTTTCATACTCTATAAATAGAGACCACTCTTGATATGTTTTGGAACACAATTAAAATTATTATGTTGGGTTAGGTTGTAGATAAAACAATACCAAACAATGTATTGTAGATAATATTATCAAATAAATAAATAAATATAAATAAAATAAATATTATACTATCTTTATTAGGTCACCAACTAAAAAATAATAAAAAAATAAAATTTATTAATATATAAAGAGGGAATGGTATTTATTTGAAAAACGATGAAAAAAAAAATCAGCAAAAAAAGAAGCCAATTCCCGCCCAAAGTGAATAAAATGAGAAAGATTTTTGGCTAAAAATTAAAATTCGAGCGCCATCCAGCCAATTTTGAAAGTTTTGAAAAAATAAATAAATAAAAAAAAATCTAAATAAAAAGATTACATGAAGATTTTTTGGAGATTCCATATTATCTAACTTTCATACATTAGGAATGAGACACTTGTCCTATTTTCATTGGTCCACTATAAATTTTATATGATAAGATAAGTATAACTCAAATTCATCGTGTGAGATCAATCAGGCTAGCCCCCTTTCTGAGCTGATTATTCGTTCTTCATTGATCATATGGGATGAGGTTCCAATGATGCATAAACATTGTTTTGAAGCTGTTCAAGCATCTTTTTAAATAGTAATGGGAGCCCTCGACCTGGCAAATCATCATAAACTGTTTGGAGGCAAGACTGTTGTGTTTGGTGGAGACTTTCTACAAATCCTTCCGGTAGTTCCAAAGGGTAGTCGTCAGGAGAATGTTAATGCTGCTATTAACTCTTCTACATTTATGGAGAATGTACTGTGCTTAGGCTTACAAAGAATATGCGTCTTCAGAGCATTGGAGATTCGAATGAACATGACGAGTTTGTCGCTTTTGCTAATTGGATAGCGAGCATGGGAGATGGAACATTGAGGGGTAAAAATGATGGATGTTCTCCGATAGACATGCCAAATGATCTATTACTAGAGCCATCCGATGATCCAGTTGCAAAAATTGTTGAAAGCACATTTCCGATGTTCAAGAATGCAACCGACGATCCAAGTTACTTGAAGGATAGAGCTGTACTTGCGCCAACACTCGATATCGTAGAATCTATTAATGAATACATATCGTCGTTAAATTTGACTGAGGGTCGCACGTATTTAAGTTCATACAGTACGTGTAAATCCTACTCCAATACAGACTTTGTGGCACAACTCCATACTCCTGAGTTCTTGAACACTATCAAGTGTTCTGGAACGCCGAACCATGAATTGAATTTGAAGGTCGGAACTCCAGTTATGTTGTTGTGGAATATGGATCACTCAATGGGACTCTGCAACGGTACACGATTGGTTGTGACTACACTCTCCAATTATGTTCTCGAGTGTAAAATTCTTACTGGCGATCATGCATGTGATAAAGTTTTGATACCTCGGATGACAATAACTCCTTCAAACGTTAGAGTACCATTCAAATTTCAAAGAAGGCACTTCTCCATTATGGTTTCGTACGCAATGACTATAAACAAGAGTCAAAGTCAATCATTATCGCATGTTGGCTTATTCTTGAAGAAACCAGTTTTTAGTCATGGCCAGTTATATGTCGTTGTCTCCCGTGTTACTGACAGAAAGGGTCTGAAAATTTTAATTTGTGGAGAAGAAGGTTTGAAAGAAAATCAAACCAATAATGTTGTGTATAGAGAAGTGTTTAATAATATATAATTTTTGTTTATATTTTGTATTCCTCTATCCTCTTTCTATTGTAAGTAAATTATAAAAAAAATATTTAAAATAAAGTTTAAAAAAAAGATTTGAGGAAATAACCCCACCGTGCTGCGCACGGGTACCATACTAGTTTGTACTAATACGCACTATAAGAAAATGATGAAATTCCAACGCAAATTTATTACAATAGAATGATTCCAACGGCAATTCCAACGAATATTTCAATACTATTATTTCTGTTGGAATTTTTCAATGGATTCCAACGGAAATTCCAACAGAAATATACCGTTGGAATGAGTTTTCATTAGAATTTCCGTTGGATTTTGACGATTCCAACGGTGGATTTTCCAACGGGGGTGGAAATAAGAATTCCAACAGAAATTGCATATTCCAACGGAAATTCCTACGGTAAAATGCGTTGGAAATATAGCCGTTAGAATTACCAAATTCCATCTAAAATTCCAATGAAAAACACATTCCAACGGAATATTTCCGTTGGAATTTCCGTTGGAACCATTCCAACGGAAGCTATACCATTAATAAGATATTCGTTGAAATTTTCATTGAATATATTACCATAGGATTTTCCGTTGAAATATAACAATTCTTTTATAGTTACGGCTGTTAGGCTGCTTAACCATTTAGACGGTCAAACGAAAAAAATGGATTCTTATATTATGAAATATTATTTTTCTTATAATGTCTATATATTTTACAGCTTTTCAAAGTTAATCTGATCTGATTATCCATACAGAAGTGGCGGCTAAAATCAATCAAAAAAATATAATTCAATCATTACTATTAATTTTCCAATTCCAAATCAATTATCACTTTTACTACTGAATTAAACACGGGAAAGAAAATAATGGCAAATATAACCGAATATCTTGAAAATTTTCCTTCAATAATAATTATTTCAATGACAGACGAAATTTCCAACAAAATCAATTACTATTACTTTTGCTACTGAATTAAACACGGGAAAGAAAAGAAGTGGCAACTAAAATAGAAAATATCAAGAAACTTTTCCTATATCAATAATTATTTCAATGGCAGACGAAATGTGCCTTATTTTATGCAGCATTTGCTATTACATGAAACCCAAGGACGCTTACGAGATAAAAACACGATCATAATAAGAAAGGTTAAAAAAAAAATGTTACAAGTCGTAAAACCCTTAGAACCAACACACATCGACACGAAACTGTGCCGATGTTATTGGATCCAAACACGACAAAACACGAACAAACATGATACACGATGAGCAATAATCAAAAGATGGTCTCGTCATGCAGTTTGGTTGTATGCGTAGTAGCATCCGCCATAGCCTGCAAGCCAAACAAACCAAACAAACGTTACTAACTAATTATAATACTATATACGATTGCGTATATATTTAATTTACCCAAAAACAATATCATAAAAGGATATTAAGTCTCTTGGTTTTATAGTTCCCTTGGGTTTTATAGTCAAGCAGCAAATGCAAAAATGAAATATAGTCATTTTTTTGTAAAAGTATTAAATAATAGTTAGGCAAAATTGCAGTTTTAGTCATGTTGATTTGAGTTAGTGGCGTTCTTAGTCCTAAGAATTGAACATTTTTTGGTATTTGGTGATATGATTTTAAAATTCAACGCAATTTCAGTCCTTTAGGACTGAAATACAAACCAAAAAAAAAAATTAAAATTACAGGATTTAAATTGTAACAAAATAACTGAAATTACAATTTAAAAAAAAAAATCTTTTGGAATTTTTATTACCAATTTAAGTCATATAATTTTAAATTTTGTTGTAATTTCAATACCAAATAACTAATTTGTAGTAAAAGTAATTGTGTCATTTCTCATGAGGAAAAGAAAAATGACTGTTATTTCATACTTTCAAATTAGAAAGTGACTATTTTTTTTTATCTTTTGAAAAAAAAAAAAAGTTACTAAGCGCGATCTATGGAAAGCTTACTTGGAGGAGTTATCGTGATGAGTCCGGTGTCTTTGAAATCGCAGTTAAAGTCGTGCCTCCCCTTTGCCTGATAGTAAAGGTTCATGGCCTGCGAGGCGTGGTTAACGGGGGTGTTAGGCGAGTAACAAGGATTCGAGTCTTTTTGGAAGGTTTCGCAGCCCTTAATCCCTTGCTCACGACACACGTAGTCGATATTTTCGAGCAGAGCTTCGTCGGAGGTTGAAGGCTTCGCCACGCAGTATTTAAGCTGCAGTACATATTAATTTATTTCATTTTTCAATATAATTGTGCTATAAAAATAATAAAAAAAAAATTATTACCTCGCCTTGATTATTTCCTTCGCCTGCCGAGTCGAGGATACAGACTGCACCAAAATGAGAAATCGTACGTGTGAAATATGTCCATTATTAATTCATGTTTTTTGATATAATGTTTTCGATTTGATTAATATATAGTGGTTGTTTTTCTTTAACGCAAAACTTGTTAAGCACAATTAACATGTGTCTTTACAAACGGGACATGGGTCGTCAGGCCTCATATGCTAGCCCGTAACTGGCCCGGCTATTCCTATGGTCCGGTTCCCTTGAACCGGCCCGACCCGACAGTTCATCGAACCGCTGGGTTTTTATTTAAAAAAAAACTAGAAAAATAAATAAATAAAATGAACTATGGACCGGCTTCCAACCCGCAGCCCAACCCAGCCTGGGCCGTACCAAAAAAGAAAATGAAGAACCGGAACTGATCCGCATGGCCAAAGTTCCGGTTCGACGAACCGGCGAAATCCAGGCCAGTTCGCCGCCGGGTCGGAACCGGCCATGTCTGAATTAATTTGCCTAAAGTACTTAATCTTGAAACTTGGATTGCATGAATGTGGAAATTAAATTAAGATGCTGAAAAGTGATTAATAATTTAATTACCTGAACACAATGAGAGCAGCACGAGGTGAAAATGAAATGAAGCAAAAAACTTGGCCATTTGCTCTAAATTGATATGCAAAAAATAAAGCTTTTTTTTTATTATTTATATTTATTTGCCTTAAAAGTGATAGTAGTGACAAGTGAGTGTGAAGTGAAGAAGCGTGCTTTATATAGATCTCAAGCGCCTTAGATAACGGCAGTCAATTATTTATTTATTTTTTT